ACTCCCTTCCCCTGGCTGAAGCCATCCAAGACTTGGATGCAGATTCTCTGTCTTCTTACCACAGGGTAATATCTGCAGTCTCTCCCCTGTGGGACCTTGTGTCCTGAGATCCACCCCTTTTCTTCAACTGAATTTGTCTTTGCCTTGGGGCATATTTTGTGATACTTTCCGCAGGTACAAGAATTATTAGATACAACTTACTGTCAAAGAAGAGAGTTTTGTGGCCTGCAGAACAGCAGGAAATTTATTTTATTCACAATAGAAGGCGAAATGAATAGAGCACCAGGCCTAGAGCACCTCACATACTAGCTAGCTATGTGACCCTGAGCAAGTCACTCAACCTCTGTTTGCCTCAGTTTTCTCTTGTGTGAAATGGAAATAATGATAACATCTACCTCACAGGATTGTTGTAAGGATCAAATGAGAATGAATTGTAAAGCACTTGGCATAGTGCCTAGCACATAGCAAGCACTCTATTATAAAAATTTAGCTACCTGTTATTATTATTATTGTTGTTACTCCTCCTCCTCCTCCAACTACTACTACCCTATTCTGTGAAGGGATGGCTCAACCATCCTTCCCTTCTGAGTTCCCACTCACTGTTGATTCTACTTTTCTCCTTTCCCACCCCACCAAAGCTGGTCCCAACCACCAGGGGCCCTGCTCCCTTCTCTGTATTGACTAAAGTCCCTAATTATAGGCCTTCAGTCTTGCTCATTAAACACCTGCTCCCTCCCCTTGATGAAACCACAAGTGACTGAAAGTTTTAAAAGAGAAATTTTACTAAGAAACCAGGGTAAACAGAATGAAGCACAAACCTTACACAGGAGACATGAAGAAGGATACAGCCAAAAAGAGCACAGGTGCCCAAATCACCCTGGTAATAAACAGAAACACTCAGAGTTTTGGCCTGAGGCAGATTCGAGCTTACTAATTCCTTCTGGGGATTCCTTCTGTCTGATCAGAATGTAACTCCCTACTAGTATCTAGTCTTGCCTGAGTGTGTTCTACACATTCTTCCCTCTTGCCTTGGGGAGAGACCACGTTAGTTTTCATCTTTACATTCTCAATGCACAATATGGTGCTTTGCACCCAATAAATGCTCAATAATTGTTTGGTGAATAATAAAAATGGTTATATAATCTTATGTCAGAGGCTTTCATATGACATGAAGTACCTTGTAATGAAATACTATAGTGCTATAAGAAATGGTAAGCAGGATGATTTCAGGGAAACCTGGAAAGATTTAATGTGAACTTATGCAAAGTGAAGTGAGCATGATCAGAACAGTGTACACAGTAACAACAGTATTGTAAGGATGATCAACTGTGAAAGACTTGACTACTCTGATCAATACAGTGATCCAAGACAATTCGGGACTCATGATGAAAAAAAAATATTATCCACCTCCAGAGGGAGAACTGATGAACTCTGAGAGCAGACTGAGGCATATTGTTTTTCACTTTCTTTATTTTTCTTGGTTTTTTTTTTTGCAATGTGACTAATATAAGCAATATGTTTTGCATGACTTCACATGGATGATGGGTATCATACTGCTTACCTTCCCAGTGGATAGGGCAGGGGCTAGAGAGAGGGACAGGATTTAGAACTCAAAATTTTTTAAAATAAATGTTAAAAATAAATTAATAATTTTTAAACCATAAAAAAAAAGAAGTACCTGGCTATACTTTGGGGCAGAGTTGTGAGTCTGTGGGCCTCCCTGTGGCCCCATAACACTCCCAAGTACCAAACCAGATTAAAATGTAACTGGGAAATATTTTAAAAATAAATAAAAAATACAATAGAAGAAAAAGCATATGTGGTTTTCTAAGTCAATATGAACCCACAGGGATGCTTATATATAGTTTAGTGACCACCATTTCAATATGAGTTTGACATCATGGAATTGTTCATGTCCCAGTCTTGTTGAATGAACCCAGAAAATCTAGGTACTTCATTGTATAACCCACTGTGTTGTCACCAATGCAGACATCACAAAGCTCAAGAAAAAAATTATTACAAGTCAGCAAATATACCTCTTCTCAAATCTCATGGAGAATATGAACAACAATGAGCAACCTTTCCCCAAGGTCCTGTACAGTCTCAGTCACTTATAGTCTTGTTCTAGGTAGGATCTCCCAGCAGGCATTGCCTCTCTTAGGTGCTCTGCACATTGTACTTATGGCAGCTCTCTCTAGATCAGATCTTTTATTTTTTCTTATTTCACTTTTTGTTAGATTTGTCTAGGCCTTAAAGGGGGACATTGAATTTTTCAGTGATTATTGTTTTGCTTTCTCTTTACCTTCTAATTTGATTAGCTTTTCCTTTAAGTACTTAGATGCTATGTCACTTGGTACACACACACATTTCTTATTGATATAATTTCACTACCTATGGTATCTTTAAATATAATGTCATTTCCCCTAATGTAATTTCCCTTAGTTATTTTAGTGAAGTATTTTATTGTCGTCTTAGCTAAGATCATGATTACTATTCTTGGTTTTGGGTTAGGTTTTTTTTTATTTATTCTCCTGGGTATAACAGATTCTATTTTATCCCCTCATTTTAACTCTGTGTGAATCTTTGTTTTTCATATGTTTTTCTTGTTAACAATATGTTGTTGTATTCTGATTACTAATTCATCTGCTACCTTCCATTTTATGAGTGAATTCATCTCATTTGATATTCATGGTAACACATTTGTTAGATAGATTTTTCTTTTCATTATATCCTGGTATAGTATTTCTTCTCTTTGTCTCCCAACTTTCTCTTTAAAAAGAAAAATGTGGAGAAAGAAAGGGAATGTGATCAACACTAGGAATCTATGACTGGAGTGGTCTGATACCACTCTTCTGACTTTCCTCTATTCACTCAGACACATCTAGATCAGTGGTTCTTTTCCTTTCTTTCTCTTCTTTTAATTCACCATTTATCATTAGCCCTTCATAGTCATACTTTGTTTTTCTTTTGACTTTACCTTTTCCAACTCTACCCTTACTCTTAAATCCCCCTCCCAACTCCCTGTATCCACCTATTTATCTGTTGACTTAAATGTATTTATGCACCAAACTCTGTGTTCATCCTTCCTTTGCTTAGTTCAAGTAAGAATGAGGTTCACTGGATGCACTCTCCCACCCCACCTCAGTGCTTAAATGGAGGAGACAGCAGGAGTGACATGACTTCACCAGTGTCTGTTTCATTGCTCAGTCACCTACTGGGAATTCTGTGGTTTCAGACCTTATCTTCTGGTTTGCCCTGTCTAGCTATCATACTGCCAGCTGGCCTGTCCCTTTAGCACATCTCCTAAAGTAGAACATCCAAAGACTTTGGACTTTCTTTTGGTAGAGTCTTAAGCTGGACAGAGAAGCTCATTGGTGTTTTCTCTCTGGTTTTGTTTAATTTACTGCTCTTCATTTTTCTGAGAGTGTTTCTCAATAGAGCTAAACTTAGTTAGTATATTTTTCATAGTTTTCTTTCCTGGAAGTCCCTCTCCCTAGCTGCTAGCAGACAGGTATTATTCCCTCTATAGCTCTCTCTCCAGCTCCCAGAAGATGGTGACACTAACACCATTTTTGTAGATATGTTGGAGACTAGGATGGTGGAGGTGGGGGGAAGAGGAATCCCAGTATGGCAGAAGAGAGTTATTTCACAGTTTCCCTATAACCAGAACATTATAGCTCAAATACCAAGCAGACCAGGGTGTTTCTACTCTGAAGTTTCTTTCTTGTGGTTCATAGTAACCACTCCACCAATCAGAAGCATAAATCCATTTCTTTCACTTTTGAATGAGTCTCCATTAATGATACAAGGTTGGATCAGAATTAATCCATAGTATAATGCTCCCCTTTATTCCACTACCTGGATAAAGTATTTCTTAACCACATCAGTACTTCCCAGAAACCTAAAAGCTTGACATCCAGTTTCTATCCCCTTCCTCCTCCCCCCATACTTCTCACCCTGAGAGTCCCTCTGAGTCCAATTCAGTTCTATTACTCAAATTACCTGGGGCCATGTTCTGTGATTGTCTTGAATTTAATTTAATACTGAGGGTAGGGAGCAGTGTAAGCAAAGACATGAGAATGAGAAAGCATAGTGTACTTTTAAAGGAAAGCTTGTAATTCATTGTGTTTGGAGCTTAGAGAATGCAGAGGGGAGCAGTATGAGAATTTAGAAAGATAGAGCAATGCAGTAGAGCCATAAATACTAGGCAAAAGAATTTGAACTTTATGCATAAGGTAATATGGAGCTACTATGGAAAAGGAAGGCCATTCAGTTATTCCTTTCCTTACTTGTGCAGTGAAACAGAAGCAAAAATGAAGACAGTTGTTTTTGGAATTAGGAAACAGCAAGATTTACCTTTTGTTAAAACTTCCTAGCCTAGACCTAATACCTGAGCCTGTAATGGATGGCCAGTAACTGGCTACATCCATTGCTCAGATCTCTGACCCTACAGGGAAGGCTGTGACATTCTATTTTTCTCTATCCTCAGCACAGTTCTTCTCCAATCTTGCATGTGGAGTAACTGAGGAATTGAAGGAGTTAACTACTTACCTATGCCAGAAAATACAAGGAAAACATGATATGGGCTGCTAACACTGACCTCATCACATTTCTTTGAACTGTGTCCTAGAGATTGATACTTAAGTCACCCTCTACCATATTAAGGGGTTGGAGGGGTGGGAAGAGGCGAGAACCACTCGAGGGTCTGGAAGTCAGGTGGACTACTTGAAAAAAATACTGGGTTAAATTCTTTCTCTATTGACTTAAAGAAATGAAAATCTGAACAGAAGTATGTTTAATGATGAAACATTAAGTTCTCCTTGTGCAAAGCAAATATACTCTGTACATGCATGCACACAATCTCTCAACATCTTCCATAGAGAGCCTCTGCCCCAGAGAGTCATGTGATCCCCAGAGAACCCTAGAGATGTCAGAACAAATACAAAGTCTGTCCCTTCCAGGATCATTCCCATCATTCTGTAATCTCTTTGCCTTGGGAAGGAAGGTGACTTTCAGAAGTCTAAAACCTTCCTATCCTCACTAGGCTTTCAGGATCAGTGCTTACTTGGATATAGTGACTTCTAGCCTCAAGGTGCCCCTGGATTTTGGTTTTCAGTTTTGTAGGGCTACTGGGATTAGAGGCACAGTTATCCAAATCCCCCGGCAGTAGATGCCCAGAAGTTAAAAGGATCCTGGATGTGCTATCTTCTATACACTTGTTCCATATTTGCTATCTTGTCTCCTTGGCAACCCTCTCATCTTCTTCTGCTCCTCCCTTCCTCTCCCACCCTCACATACACACCAACACTGATTATTGTTTTGGTATCTTACAGAGTTTGCCCTTTCAATCCTGGAGAAGATGCAAGCTCAGGAGATCCTGAGGATCCTGCGTCTGCCAGAATTGGATGATTTCAGCCAGTTTTTGCGTAACTTGCCAGCCACCACATTAGTGGGTATTGGGGCCTTTGCTGCTCTGCTGGCTTACTGGTTTGCTAATCGGCCAAAAGCTGTTAAGCCACCATGTGACCTCCTGATGCAGTCTGAAGAAGCTGAGGTAAGACTAGGAGCCAGAGTATAGGTGAGGGGCTCAGGAAAGCTCTGCACTTTCTTGCACTGGTAAAGTTTCAGGTTTTACTGTATTTGCTTAACACAACCGATATCCCGCTGGTTATTACAAATTGCTACTACTGCATACCACTGTTACTGCCTGACGCTGCCACTGTTGTGATTGCCTGATATTGCCACTACATTATTACTGTCATCATTTACTATTGGTATTGTCTGCCACTGTTACTGCCTTCCGTTGCTACCCCCTGGCTGTTACTAGTATTGTCTTCCATTCTTACTGCCTCTCACTGTTACTGGTACTCCTAGTCACTGCCTGACACTGGTACTACCTTCCATTCTTACCTGCTGTCCCTGTCTCTGGTCCTGCCTTCTAGAATGCCTTTCCTTTCCCTCTTCACTTGTTCTATTCGCTAATCATCATTTAAATCCTAAATTGAATGTCCCCTTCTCTACAGTTCCCTCAGTCAATAACAATCCCCCCCACCTTCTGTCACAATTTTGTTACCCTTCTCTTTAATGTCCTTATATAATATTATGTAGAATTAACCGTGTTGTATCTTATTCCTCTACTAAAATGTAAATCCCAGGAAGGGCAGGAGTTGTGTCCTCTCTAAACTTCCCATGAGCCCTAGCACCCAGCACAGGGCTCTGGACCCAGTAATTGCTTCTTGTTTAGCTGAATGAATGAATGGGTGGATGGATGGATGGATGGATAGATGGATGGTTACTGCCTGCCATTGTTTTCACCTGACACTCCTCCTCTCCTAGTGTTAGTGTTTGTTTTGTCCCAGGGGAGAGTGGCTCATGGTGCCCTTCGGTACTGAGGGAAATTAAGCCAAGTTATATGGCCCTGAGAGAGATTCGTTGGCAGCCTGGCAACAGCCTCAACACTGGCTATTTCTAAGGAAACAGAGGAATAAGGCTTTCACCCCCTTTCAGGAGCAATTTCAGATAGGGGTGAGGGAGAGAATATTGTGGCAGAGAACTCAGAACAGGGGTGGGGAACCTGCGGCCACAAGGCCACATGTGGCATTCTAGGTCCTTGGGTGCAGCCTTTTGACTGAGTGCAAATTTTATAGAACAAATCCTTGTATTAAGGGGATTTGTTCTGTGAAGTTTGGATTCAGTCAAAGGGCCACACTTGAGGACCGAAAGGGCCACATGTCGCCTTGAGGCTGAAGGGTCCCTACACCTAACCCAGAAGTTCAGCTGAAGTGTGAGGGCAGTGTGTCCTAGGGCTCAGGACTGAGGACATTTTATCTTAGAACAGACAGTCTAGTCAGGGTTCACTGTTCACTACTAGGACAAAGCTTAGACATCTTTAATGTGGGTGTCTCTCCCCTACAAAGGCTTCCTAATGCCAGGAATCAGTAGATTACTAAGGCTTGGGAATGGGACAACCACATGAGACAAGAAGGGCAGGCTCTAAATTAGGATACAAGAAAATGTATGATGAAGACTAGGCCAGGCCTTTGCAAAGAACCTTTTTTCTCATATCTCTAATGTCCTTATCATATATTATTTATAATTATAAAGTTACATTATTTTATTATATATTCTAATATAATATATTATACTACTATTATACTGTATTATATAATTATTTATAATTTATAATTGTCTATGTTTGTGTACTATTCCCCTACTAAGAGCAGGATTGTGTCCTATCTAAGCTAAATGTATCTTCTCTAGCATCTAGCTTAGAGGTCCATAGTAAGTATAGTAAATAAGCATAGTAAATGATTAGTGGTTTTTTTTTTTTTTAAATAACAAATGAGAGGCAGCTAGATGGCATAATGGATAGAGCACTGGCCCTGGAGGAGAATCTGAGTTCAAATGTGACCTCAGACACTTGACACTTACTAGCTGTGTGACCCAGGGCAAGTCACTTAACCCCATTGCCTGGCAGAAAGAAAAATAACAAATGGACCTGAATTTCTCTGAAACACCATAATCCAAAATACTGAGATGAGTCAGAGCAGAAATTCAGCCTGAGAGGTTAATATCACACTAGGAGGCAGAGTACAGGGAATACTGGCCAGAAATATAACTAGAGTTATAGTACCACAAGCTTGCCCAGAGCAGGTGGCAGGAAGGATGCTGCCAGGTGAACTGGGGATGGACAGAGCGGGGCAAGAGACAAGTTCAGACCAGCCAGCAATCTGGTAGCTTCCTGTTTTAACTAACTATTATTGCTAACTAGGTTGTAAGCTCTGCTGTTTATATGCTGGTGAAGGATTATAAGAACCATCAGCACCTTCCAAATTTGGCAACCTAATGCAAAGCCCCCATCACCCTGCCCAAGTTACGGCATAGCAGGCAGATTGATTGAATCCAATCAATCAATTAATAAGCATTTAATAATGGAAATTTTTATGTATCAGCACTATGCTAAGTGCTGGGAATACAAATACAAAAATGAAATAGCCCCAGTCCTCAAGGAGCTTACATCCTATCAGAGAAGAAAATGAACATAAATAAATATATACAAAATAAATAAAAGGTAATTGGGAAGAACTAGAAACTAGGGCAGGGGTGGGGAACTTGTGGCCTGGAAGCCACATGCGGCCTTCTAGGTCTTTGGGTGAGGCCTTTTGACTAAAGTCCAAGTTTTATAAAACTTTTTATTAAGGGGGTTTGTTCTGTGAAGTTTGGATTCAGTCAAAGGGCTGAACTTGAGGACCTAGAGGGCCACATGTGGCCTGGAGGCTGCAGGTTCCCCACTCCTGATAGCGGATCAGTGAAATAAGATGATGTTTAAGCCAAACTTTGAAGTCAATTAAGGATTCAAATAGGCTGAAATGAGGAGGGAATGCATTCCAGAGCACAGCCAGTACAAAAGCATGGAAACAAGAAGTGGAGTATCATTTATAAGGAATAGGAAGAAAGTCATGGAGTGTGTATATGGAAATAACATACAACAAGACTGGAAAATAAATTGGAGTCAGATTGTGAAGAGTTTTAAGTGCCAAAGGGAAGTTTCAATTTGGTTCTAGAATTAATAAGGAGGCCCTAGAGTTTATTGGCCATGGGTGTGGCATGGTCAGACATGTCCTTTATGAAGATCCCCATAACAGCTATGTGGAAGCAGAAACTTGAGGTAGGGAGATCAATTAGGAGGTGCTCACAGCAGTCCAGGTAAAAGTTGATGAGGGCCTGAACTGTGGTAGTGACTGTGTTAAAGAAAAGAGGAACAATGTGAGAGATGCTGCAAAAGTAGAATCAGGAAAACCTGGTAACTGATTAGATATATGAGGCAAGGGAGAGTAAGGACTTGAGAATAGCTCTAAGCAAGGTGTGTTGGAGCTAGCTCTAAATGACTTGCAAGAGCTGATTTTTAAATTTTCAGTGTAAGCATTTACATCTCAGAAAGTGCTACAAATCTGAGCCTGAATTATTGTTTTGTTGGTTGTCTAGACCTAAGAAAGTGTAAATAATGCAGATTAAACTTAAAAGCATGCATGTTTACTTCTTTGCCCCCCAGAGAGCCTGGTCATTAAATGCTGTATTTACCAGCACATCCCTGTATTGCTCTATAAATATTGTTTGAGCTCAGTAGGAGTGCAGTAGAAAGTTCAGGAAATGAAGTCATCACCAGACTCCAGGCCTGGTGACTGGGGGCTAACAATAATAATTCTAATAACTAGTGTTTATAAAGCACTTCAAGGTTTGCAAAATTCTTTAAATCCGTTGTCTCGTTTGAGCCTCACAAAACCTCTACATCAAAAATTATGATCTCAGGTGATTAGAAAGATGGTGATGCCATCACTCAACAGAAATAAAGAAGTCCAAAAAAGAGTTAGATATTGAATTCAGGTTTGGATATGTTGAAGTTGAGATGTGTATGGGCATCCAGTTCAAAATACCCAATAGGCAATTGAGGATGTGGGACTCTGGAGCTCAGGAGAAATATTAAGGTTGGATATACAGATTTGGAATTCATCTACTTAGAGATCATAATTAAGCTGATGAGGTGTGTATGAAAAAGAGACAGAGAGAGATAGAATGGAAAGAAGAGAAGAATCAGGACAGAGCTTGAGGTGCATTAACAGTAGGCAAGATATGCATTGTGATGAGCCAAAGAGAGCATAGTTTCATGACAACCCAAATAGAGGAGAGACTATCCAGGAAGAGGTGGTGATCAATAAGGTCAGATGCAGATGAGTAGTCAAGAAGGATGAGAATGATTGGGAAGAAGTCATTCACTTTAATAATTTAGAGATCACTGGTAACAGTCAGTCTCCCCAAAGTTTTGGCCTTTCTGGTACCTACTTATACTCTTCACCAGATCTTTTAAACCTCATGGTAAAAATTAATCAGAAAGACATGTGACTTAGATACCAGGCTCCTCTTTTTAGCTACTTGCTTTATTCAATTTAATTCAGCAAACATTTGTTAAATACTCACAATGTAGAGAACAATGTTCTGAGAGAGATGCAAAGCTTAGATGACACGGGGTTCCTGCCTTCATCTAGTCTAGTGTGAAAATTAGGTCAGCTCTCCATTTCAGTTTATTCTTCTTTTCAGTGGGGTTTGTGGCTACTGAAATCCACTCAGAAAGTCTGTTGAGTATCTGCTATGTACTCTGTCATGTGTTATAATTCAGAAGTCAGCTGAAGTTATGCATATTAACACCTGAACTGAGCTCTTTAAAAAAAGTTTGTTAACCCAAATGAAACTCTAATAGGTGGGATTTTAGGCATTGAGACAGAGTGAAATTAAAAAAGGTTATGGTGGAAAATATATTTTAAGGCAGGACCTTAGGGAAGCCAACCCTGGACTGAGAGTTTCTCCTTGGAATCAGCTCCTCTAAGTTGTCCCTACTTTGCATGGTATTTTCCCTTCCTTCAGTCATATACCTATAAAATTTCCAAGTTCTTTCTCAAGTTTCCAATTATGAGAGGTATCCTGGCCATGTGCAGTGTCTGCTGTTCATATGTCTAAGTCATTTGTAAGTGAATTCTTTTTAAGGTTTAAGGTCTTCAT